GGAAAGGAAAGGAAAGGAAAGGAAAGGAAAGGAAAGGAAAGGAAAGGAAAGGAAAGGGAATCATAAAGTACTCTCAAGCTGCAACCCATTGAGCAGTCATTGGACTGGCTCCACACTATACAGGAAAAGAAATATTTCTTGTCTTCCATTCTCATTTTCCCAGATTTGGGCACAGTGCTGGTAACTTTGCATTTGACAATGATTTAGTGTGAGGAAGGGCTAGTTGAAAAAGTGATTTTTGTCCAAGTTTAATATTTAGTGTATAGTGACTAAGTGGGTGACCTCACTGCAAGTCTCTCCAGCCCTCAGGTTTGGAGACATCATCACATGAGGCTTTTCTTGCCCATTAGCAGAAAGGGATGTAGCAAGGTAGAAGAAAGCATTTGGCCCTCCACAGTGTCAGCCTATCAATCATAGGATTATCCAAGCATGAGGAACAGCCTTGCCAGATCCTGGCAATCAATCATCCACTTGTGAAATGGAAAAGAAAGAAGAAGAAAAAAAGAAACGAACAAGAAAGGGACGAAATCAGGACTGCATTGCAGGAGTTTGGCAGAGATCAGTTAAAGCTTTCCCAAGCAACTAGCAGCACACAGCCTGGATCTGAACTGCATCTCCTTGAAAGAGCCAGAACTAAAGTGCTCCCAGTACTAGTTTACTACAGGTTTGTGGCTGCCCTGTTTGCACTGAGACTTATGTGTTTTGCTTGTACTGTCTCCAGTCATCTGCCCATCTCCTCCTAAAACAGCATGTGAATCTTAAACAGAAAACATCACAGGTGACATCTTTACCCCATCTGCTGAGACAGGACACATGGGAGATGATTTAGTGTCTCCCTTGAGTAGAGAAAACATTGTTATCACTGAAGGTGTGTTGTGTAACATCCCAAATTCCTTCTAACACAACATCAATAGTCCTATATATAAACCAGTCTGAAGCCTAAGAGGTGAGTTTGGTGTAATACAGGTGTGCAAGGAAGTGGGTCTGCAGGTTAGGGAAATAAGGAAAGCAAAAGCCAGGATGCAGGCAGAGGGCTTGTTCATGTGAAAAGTGATGAGTTAATGTCCTCTGAGTCATAGGTTTTATCTTAACTGAGTGACACTCAGCAAAATGCTGAGAGTCAGCACAAAACTTATACTCCATGCAAGCCCTACTTATGAGCTTTAAAGAAAGTCTCAAAACCCTGTAGATACTCAGTTTAACAGCCCCAAGCAGCAGCAGACACCCAGATGCTTTAACTCTATTGATCGAAACACTGAATCACAGAATGGTTTGGCTTGGAAGGGACCTTAAAGATCACCTCATTTCATCTCTCATGCCGTGGGCAGGGACACCTTCCACTAGACCAGGTTGCCCAAAGCTCCATCCAACCTGGCCTGGAACACTTCAAGGAATGGGGCAGCCACAGCTTCTCTGGACAACCTGTTCCAGTGCCTCGCCACCCTCACAGTAAAGAATTTATTCCTATTATCTAATCTAAACCTACTCTTGTTTAGTTTAAAGCCATTTTCCCTTATCCTATCATTGCACGTCCTTATTAAAAGGCATGCAATGTCTTTTTATATAATAATATGTAATGTAAAATAAATATTATTTTATATACTATTTAAGTAGTGCCTTTTTTTTAATATTCCTGGACCTCAAGCTCCTAGCACTCTCACAAATGGTCCTCCACCTCTGCTGGGCAAATATGTAATATTTGCAAATATGCAACTAGAGAAATCTGCCAGTAACCTCTGCTTGTTCAAATTAGGTTAAAACAGCATGAAAAAAGAGCGTGAAAGAGTGTGATGGCGCTTAGACCTTTGTGGACACATTTTTCTGGTAAATTCAAAATGACTAAGTACAATACACGTAATTTATATGGCTACATTTTTACAGCTGTACAAAATTCACAAGAACTTGTACTTCATCAAGAACTTCATCAAGAGAAAGGATTTCCATTTGGGACTTTGGATCCTGAGAAGCAAGGCTCCTTTTGGGCCAGAACAGTCTGGAATGGTCTGCTGGAATTGGTTTAAGATGTCTGCACATGTACATCAGACTTTTGGCACCTCCTTAGTCACCCTATTAATGTCCACCAGAAGGAACCAGGACCATCTGTGTTTTCTGCATGTGCAGGAGCTGCTGCACCTCTCTCTGCCCAGCAGCCAGGCAGGGACCTGCCAAGCACTGTCTTTGGGGGGGGACAGCTCACTGATTTTGCAGCTGCAAGGAGGTCCTGCCTTACAAAGGGTGAAAGGTGAGAAGGTAGCACAATTAGAATGCTTCAATTTTTATTATTATTTTTAATTGTGGCAGATGAAGTGTAAAATACTCACGGGCCGGACAAAAACTCCTTTTAGAAATGTGGTGACAATGCAAAAGGAGGTGTGAGAAGCCAGTTAGCATGTATACACACAGCGTTTTCCTCTTGGCAAGCAGTTCCTCTTCTCTTTTCTGTTTTGCTCAGGACTGGAGCATTTTTCCCTTTTCCCCTGCTTTAGCTCACACAACATATACCTGATATCATCTATCACAAACCCACAGTCTCCCAGGGATTTGAAGACTTGCACATCCCAAACAGATAATATGCTTAATGAGTTAAATGAGTCAGCTCCTTCCACCTCTGCTTTCAGCCCCATAAAGGCACTTACAGGGCACATCTCAGCTTGGAGAGGAAGCTACCTAAGAGCCAACCAAGTGACTGGCTCTTAGGTAGCTGCAGGTGTGCCCTGGTATTTGCAGTAACATAAATCTCCCCTAGTCACCTCATTTTGCAGCTAAGCTGCCTAGTCTGTTTCCGCAGCATCGGGATTTAAGGGTCGGTCAGTTTTCATCACAGCCTAAGACTTCTGTGTTCTCCAAATGCTCTGAAAGCCCCAGCATTAAGGAAATACTGAAGCACAGGAGCGCACACAGCAGCCACTTGGAGCAATGAATCCATCACCTGCTAACACAGCTGCTGCCT